GCAATTATCAAGCAGCATTATTATTATTTAACTTAATTATTTTAATTCATTTTCATTTACAACGAATAAATAGATATTCCCTAGACTTTTTAAATGATTAAATCTTAAATTCTTATAAATGAATTTTTAAATAAATCAATGCAACATCTATATAAACAAAGTAGCTTAACCTGATATATTTAATTCATAATTATTTCTTTTTTTTGGTAGTATAATTGAATTGATATTAAATATAGCGATGGCATTATGTATTAGCAAGGAACTATTATAAAGTTTATTTTCAACAAATTTTAAATCGAACTTATTTGAATTAAGATTAAGATTTACAATTTTCTCCGAATAAATTGAATTTGATATAAAATCAAATGATATTAATTCAAAATGTTTTAAAATTATTTATTGTTAAGAAGATATTTATGAATATATAAAGAAATTAAAAAGTTAATTGATGTTTGGCAAGAATAAATGTGTCTTTAATTTATTTTAATGAGCCTTTAGATTAAAATATAATTTAATAATATTATAAACCGAATCTGTAATTAAATGTAAGAATAAATAAAAAAGATATTTTCATTGGAATCAAATTCTTTAATAAAATAATATATTTTGTTATCCAATCGTAATAATGATGAATTAAAAAAGATTATTTAATATTTAAATCATTTATCTCAACAATATTATTTTCTTTAAGATCAAAATATAGTAAATTAGTCTTAAAAAATCAAGTATGCATTATTTTACAATTTTTTATATTCATAGTCGAAAAGATTTTGAATAGAAAAAGAAAAAACTTTCTTTGATATCTTTATCCTAGTTAATAAGCTGAGCAAATTACTTCATTTAATTTAATCCCTTATCGCTAGAATAAATTAATGATCTACATACAAATTTATAATGACACTATAAAATGCACAAATATCATTTTTCCAATTACCTTTTATAATTTTTTTTATTAAATTCAACTCAAACAATTTAAGTCTTATGAAAATAATTAGCAAGCATTTGTTTAGACCAAAACAATTTTAACATGATTTTGGACATTCAAAACAAGAAGCATCATCTGATATATAATATCCACTTAAACATTTAAAACATTTTTTTCATTTATTATTTACATTTATACA